GTTTTGTTTTCAACAACTAATACTGGGGACATGAAAATGACTGTTTTTGTGAGAATGACCCATATATAAAATGCTTTTCTGTAGGAGGTTAAAATTTAAAATCAATTATGTACAACTTCTAACTGTCAGAAAAAAAATAAAAGCAACAGAAGAGAAATTAAAGACATTTTATTGAGCACATATGTATATAGATATAGATATATATATATATATTTTAGAAATTACACAAATCAAACATTTAGTTATTCTTCAAAATATATAACTTTGATACTCATATTAAATCACCGGTTCCACAAATACCATTTGACACTTCTTCATAGGCAATAAAAAAATTCTCTCGGGAGCTCTTGCTAACGAATAAATATTTTTAAATGCATCATTTTTCTAGACAAAAATAAACTTTCTTTTCACTTATATGCACTTTGCCCAAATAAGGTATTGAATGTAAATATAACACATCATTCAATATAATTTGAAAAATAATATATTCAATATAACTTCAATATTCATTCAAATTCAAAACAAAATTAATCACATAACAATCAAACACTATCATCCAAAAAAAAAATTATGGCAATATGGAAAGTATTTTTTGTTAAAAAATCATTTCACGTTAAAAATATTCTCTCTATTTTATACAAGTTTACAAAATATTACAAAAAAGCCACGATAGCAAGGGGAAAAAAACTTGTGTATTTATTAAAACCACTCATGTGAATTACATGCATGTCTTAGCTCTGTGGGGTAATAATATTTTTTTCACTCACATCTATAAAATCAATATTTAACATTGGTTTCCATTTATTATTTACCATAAAGTATTTTTAAATTAATGAAAATGTCAATACAGTGTTAGTTCAATTACGAATAGAAATAAATATCATTACATGAAAAAATAATTTTAAATTGCTCAAAATTATGAAATTTTTTTTTAGAAAAAAGCTATATGTTTAAAAAATGTTATAACAATTAACAAGAAAGTACAAAAATTTGGTACAGTTATGCTTTTCGTTTTTCAGAATTACAGGTATGTATAAGCAAACTCATCGGTAACTATTTTCATAGTTAATATTCTAGACTTACATAAAGTTATTGAAAAAATTATAAATGCTTTAAAAATGTTAACAATTAACAAGAAAGGACAAAAAATTGGTACAACTTTTCGCTTTTTAGAATTGCATGCATGTATAAGCAAAATCATCGGTAACTATTTTCATAGTTAATTGGTCTTCATAGTTAATATTCTAGACTTACATAAAATTATTGAAAAAATTATACATGCTTTAAAAAATGTTAATTATTAACAAGAAAGTACAAAAAATTGGAGTAGTTATGCCTTTCACTCTTTAGAACTACATGTATGTATAATCAAACTCAGTGCGAGATATTTTTATTTACTGACATCTATCAAAATCATAATTTAATATTAGATTTAATTAATCTACTAATAAACATACATAATTTTTTTAACTATTACAGACGATTCCGTGCAATATTTGTCCAAAATGTAAAGATAAATAATTGCTTTTACATTACGATTATCTAAAAAAACTCATTCTTAAATTGCATGGATTAAATGTTTTTTTTAAAAAAAAATCTTTATTGTTAATTAGAAAAAACAATATTTTAATTACAAAAATCACTTATGCACTTGCATTTATATTTTCACTTATAACGATAATAGTTTTATTCCATCTCATCGTTTAAACATTGGTTTTCATTTATTCATTAGTAATCATAAACCATTTTTTAATTACTATTGTATGCATTAATAAACTTCCAGTAATAAATTGCATTACAGACTTGAGAAATATTTTCTTCAGATTATTTCAAAATAATACTAAAAAAAAGAAATTAAATTATTAAAAATATATATTTATATTCTTAAATTGATTAAAGTTTAAAAAAAATATAAATTTCAAATATTTAAGAGAGTCATAAGTCAAATTAAAAAAAAGAAGAATGCATGTAATGAAAACCATTCATGTGAATTATGAGAATGTTTTATACTCAGCGAAGAAATGTTTTCATTTGGTCATATAAATTAAAATCATACTTCAATATTGGTCTTCATTTTTTTGTAAGTAAACATAAATGAAATTATTTAAAATGTTTATATAATTACAGTTTAATTGTTAATATAAATAAATATCTTTGCATTAGGGGTGTTAGAATAAAATACTAGCAAAAATATTAAAAAGGAAATATTTTAATTTTTATTAGTATAATACAAATATTCTAAGAATCAAATGTTAAAAGAAAGTACAGATTTTAATTAAATATTCAATATGACAAATTTCGTATACAATATAACTTATTATATTGAATTATTCTGTATTCAATATAACTTATTCTGTAATATATTTGAATATTTTGCGTCTGATTAGGTATTGCAACATCCCATCATTTAACGTAAATACAAATTTTGAGTACTCCTTTTGAGATAGAAATTAAAAATTTTGAGCTTGAAAAAAAATTGATAAAAAATTTTGAGATTGATAAAAAAAAATTTATTTTGAGATTGAAATAAAAAAGATGCATTTTTAAACGATATTACTTGCGATGTTTATACCAAATTTGCAAATCATTTTTCAACGCTCTCCAGCACTGCAAACAGCCAAGTCATAATATTTAAGAAAAGAGGAAAAAACATTTATATTATAATTTAATATTCCAAAAATAATACGGAAAAAATGAAATCACTTATTACATCGCATTTACATCATCAAACTCATTAAGTTTCAAATTTTTCGCCAAAGCTTTTTCTGTTTAAAAATCCTTGAACTCAATGTTTTATATTGAGTTCTGAACACATAGTAATAAATATTTCAAATGAAATGTGATAAAAAAATTACTTTTCTGAACGTAAAAAACATAAAAATAAAATTTTGATTTAATAGTTGATCACAAGATATTAAACAATTGATTAAGAACAACATAAGGTTTAAGTACATTTTATAAAACTACACAATTACAATAAAATGTTTGCTAACACCATTATAAAGATGTAATTTTACTATCTGTAAAACTTTGAGAATTCATAAACATTAGAAACTAAGAAATAAAATAATTTACAGCCAACAGTTTGAATTACAGACATTTACAGATTGCAAATCCTCAAATCTTTTTTAAACAGTTATTTAAATAATTTCTTAATAAATTTACATAATAAAATTTTGATTATTTTGATTGCCCCGAAAATTCGTAATTTCAGAAATTCTTCAAAGTCTTACAAACGCAATCAATAACTTACAAGTATTTTGATAAAACAAAATAAAAATTTCAGCGTTTGGTTACTCTAATTTAAAATTAAGGTAAACAAATTCTTTAATTTTATAATTAGTAATCACTATATCATTGAAAATATTGCAATTACCGTAAGTAAACGTAACCTTTGCAATATAAGACATATAAAAACTTTTTCTGATAAAAAAAGAAATAAACTAAGATTTATGGAATTTTTCGTTCATGATGTTTGAATGTTGTAGAGTTTTTAAAAACTTTAGAATAAGGTAAACATCATAAAAACATCTGAACATTTTTGTTTACCAAAAAAAAATATGAAAGAAATAAAAGGCGATTAAAACATGTAATTGCAAAATTGAGAAATGGTTCGATATTTTTTAGGATAGTTTTGCTTTCAAAGATACAATGTTTTTTCAATGAGCAGTAAACGATGGAATTGTCTTCAAAATCCGCGATTTGAATTTTGCGCGTCGTAATAATATCGTAGATATAACAGGAAGATATAACGAAATAACAGGAGTGATATCATCCGAAAAAGAGACATAACATAACAGGGATATTTGATGAATTGTAAAAAATTCGTCGGAAAATAAATTTTTGATTTGAGGAAGTTCGTCTGAATTATCAGACAAATCCCATACCAGGCGATAATTAGAAACTTCTGCAATCAAACTAGTTTTAATGCTTTTTAATCCACTTCCCTCAATAGTTATTCGTTAGGTTTCGATAAGGTTTCGTTTTCCCTTCTCTTGAATATTAATTTGCGATCTTTAATATATTTGACTTAGTTTTTGACAAAAACTAGATATTAAGCGTGATGATTTATTAACAATCAATACTTCCTAGAGTCTTAGATGTTATGAATACGAAAATCTTTTATGTAAATACAAAGAAATCATTTCAGATCTTTTTTAAGGATATTTATGTCTATATTAGTTTACATATTTATGGTTTCAGTAATAAAAAATACTGAAATAATAGAAATTAGAAGTCTTATATAGATTTAAGTATTTGTTGATTGTTGTTGTAAGGAAGCTTTATAAGTAGGTCCTCATTCTGTTTCATTTACTAATTCTTTTACAAGAACTTATTAACTGAAAACTTTATATTGATACTTTAAAAACATTAAATTAACTTCAACTTCACTAATACAGTGTGCATTAGTGAATATTATAATAACAACATATTGAAATTCTTTAAAGTTAGTAATCATAACAAATTATGATGAAGTAATTAATAAACTTCGAACATATTTATAAGTTTCGATTCTCGATGACTTATTATAAAACCATCGAGATTATAATCGAAGTTCTCAATATATACTTTTCGTTCTCAATATATACTTTTAATATCTTAGACAAAAATAAAATAAAGTATACATATTAAGAGTCGCTAATTGATATTTAAGCGAGGAAAAGAAACGTCTCGAAATCAAATATCAAGTGACGAAGGCAAGATAAAAAGCATCAAAACCTGCTTGTATATCACTTAAAAATTGTAGATGTTTCTGATAATAGTCTGTTAACTACCATCTTCCTTTTCTGGAACAATCAAGCATGTTTTGATGTTTACGATTCCGCCTTCTTCACAAGTGATTCGTGAGATTTCTATGACGTTTCAGGATTTTGCTATCCTAAATATTAATATGCGACCCCTAAAATGCGTAATTTTTTTGCAAGAAGTCAAAAATCTAGGTTAAGGTCTGTGGCAACGAAAGATCTTGTGTTTGCAAGTCCAATCCAGCAATTACAGATATAAATGATGATCTCTCCAATATTGACAAATAACAAAATATTATAAAAATTGAAGTGGCAACACAAAATTTGAATGCATGTGTGAAAATAGAAACATCAGTTTTGTTTTTAATACACAGAAATGCACAATTCTTTAAGATGATATCCGGTTATTATTAATGAACACATGAGTGGCTTACTGAATCAGATCATGATAAAAATTAGTTTCTCTCAAAAAAATGGCATGTATTTTTAGAAATCATGCAAGATTAGCGGTAACTGTTACAAAACACAGACATATCAAGCAAGTAATTTCCTCGTGTCTCTTTTTTTTAAAAAAAAAACGAAGTCTCACATATTTTTTTTTATCACAGTATATAGCACAGGATGATATTTTCTATCATAAATATTAAATTCTAGTAACAAAATTTTCCCAACATTCGTATAATTTCACAGTCACAGTTTAAAAATTATCGTGATATCTTCTTCTGTGCAAAAGAACTTGATATTCGTGCCTGAATTTACTGCTGCATTTGTGGCAACAATACTTTTTTAGAAAATGGTGCCAGAATAGGTGCCGAACAAAATTAATGTTGGTTTTGAAGATCAATGAATGCGCATGGTTTAGTTTGCAACGCCTTACAAACAAGTTTGCACGTTTGAGCAACTTCTTCCGGAACTGATATTTGAACAGTTTTGGCGCTTTTCCGCGTTTAGTTCGTTTCTTTTTATCACAGACATTTTTCCTTTTACGAACGCGTGTCTGTTTTGAGATCATATTGGTATTTAAAAGCTTTCTAGGAAAAGTTTGCTTCCTAGATTTCCGTCCACGATTGCCATTATCTTGAGCAATCACTAAATCATCAACAGTCATCTGCAAAGCTTGTGGAATGGATACAGCTACTTTAGACATTGCTGCGTTGCAGTGGGCGTAAGGTCTAATGCCACTTGAACGTTTAGAATAAGGATTGTGATGAAGATATGGTTTGACTTCTTCTTCTGATTGGTCCTTGTTTGCTTTCAGAAGCAACTCTAAACTCTCATTGCTGTTGGCGTATTTTGGATCCAAGCTTCTTTTGATTACTTTGCAACGATTGCAAGATTTGGAATGGTGACATTTTCTGTAATGTCTTATAAATGGAATTCTCTCGCAGCAGATTTGCCCACAATGCGGGCATCTCTTCAAAGAGTCATTATGTTCGGTCTCCACATGCTTCTCGAGGGTGGAGTCGCAGACAGTTTTAAAGGCACATTGTGGACCAGCTCTGCAATGGAGAACTTCTCCAGTGTGGTATCGCATGTGTTCGATGATAGTTCGTTGCTTGTCACTGTTGAAATTGCAAATGGCGCAGGAGAATTTCTTTGTTTTAACAACAGCTTGGTCTTTTTTCGAGGAACTGGTAGTTTCCTTCAGATCCTCTCGGTGATAAAGCTCTGTGTGGATTTGCAAGGAGGACGAATTGGCAAACTCACAGCCACAATGCCAGCAGACGATATCCTGATCATTGTTATCACTGGTTAAGTCAGTAACTCCACTGTCGCTAGCTGCAAAACAAAACATGCTAATTAATTTCTAGTCTAACCGAATGAATGGCTTCTTTGTCATGCCTTAAAATATCACGATAAAATTACCAAATTTTATCATACATAATAAGTTATATCATATAGTATAAAATCATATTTTGTTTTTAATTTCACCAAAATTATTACCAAAGAGCTTCGTTAAGAATGACGGAGCTTCTTGGTGTTCCCATAGAGCCAGAAAAACGGTAAATTTTACCATGTTATGTTAGTTTTGACCATACTTTTTTTTATTCATGTAGCCTTAAGGTAAGACGGTAAAAATTCTGTATAAATTCTATGAAGAATAATTTCCGTAAAAAGGAAATTAACTTCGGTTTATCTAAGAGTTTAACATTAAAAACATTCAAAACTACAAAGTTAATTATTCTTGTCGAATTTACTCACATTTAAATAACATTTATAATCAACATAAAATAGGGTTCTCAAGTGATTGGGTAAAAAAAAGTAAAAAAGCGTTAAACATTTAATAAAACGGACTTTTTTCAATTTTCTTGTAGCAAATACCATAACTGTTAAGGTCTGTCTATAATTAGAAAAAGTGCAAAAACTAAAATATTGGCTAAAAGAATAATAACTCTTGAAAGTGAAGATACTCTATCAACTCGTTGCTTGATAAGTGAGAAAGAAATAATTTCTTTCTCACTTATCAAGTAAAATCGGGTAAAATTTCTGAGTTTTTTCGAACCCTGCTTCATAACTAGCCCATTTTGTTAGAGGTTTACAGAGCATTAAATACTCAAAGGCATTATTAAAATCTATAATAAATAACAGCATAATATAATATCATATAACATCGATTAAAATAATATCTGTCATAATAACATGAAGGCTACTAAAATCTGAGCAAAAATTAACCAGGTCAGTTGCATCAAAAATTAAATTAAAATTAACAAAAGCTGGTTTGAATGTGGGTTGCAAATGTAGAATAAATAATGAGAACAGTTTAAAAAGTTAATAATGTAAAAATTATTTCTTATTGTTTATACAATATTTCACAAAAAAACGTTATAATTTGTTTTTTTAGAAACACATAGAATTTATGAATGGCCTTTGAATACTTACAGCTCTGAACAGGTGACGCAAGCTCTAATTTGCTTTCTACTTTGCCATTTGTGGCAGCTTTTCCATCACCATTCACCAAGACATCTGGCAACTTTTCCCTGAAACTATTCATTCCGTTTGTTCCAAATGCTTGGGAAGAAGGGAAACAATACGATATGCTGTTATGCAAGGGCATTAAGCTGACAGAACCCTTCAGGTCCAAGGCCATGCGGTGATCAAAAAGTTTGGCGGTTTCTGGGAGAACAAAAGGTGTGATGGGTGGAATTTCTGATGGTCCAGGTGGATCTAAATTGGCTTCGATATTGGCGTCATCACTTTCGATCAGACTATCTTCAGAAATTTTTTCGATGTTTGAGCCCTCTCTTATCTCCACACTAGGAGAGAAAAAAAGATCAATAAATGCAAGAATTTAAAAACTGCTAATATATTTTGGTGAACTAACAAAAACACTCATTAAATAAAATGGAAATTGAATAATAATTGAAAATAATTAACAAAGCAAACTTAATTCTATGTACATATTTAATACAGACATATTTAAATGGATATACAGCCGAACCTCATTCCGTTTTCTGTTATGTACCGTCTTGTTTTAACGGCCCCAACACAAATGCTTTTCTTGTAATGTTAATAATGCTCGTTTAGATTGTTTTTAAAACTAGAGAATTCCCACGTCTATAATGCCCGTTTAGATTGTTTTTAAAACTAGAGAATTCCCATGTCCATCGTACAGAAATTTGTTTTGAGAAGTTTTTCCTTTCGCTTTGGGAGGTGGGAGAAGAAAAAAAGTAACTCTTGATGCTAAATGATGAAGAAAATAAAGATTTGTAACAGTTTTATGAAAATGTTTAAACTTGTGGCATCGTCGGTTCAAGAAATGGTTGCAAAAGCTAAAGAAGGCGAAACGCAACCACAACCGGTGCAAACATTTTAGAAGGCATTTGAAACAATGAGCAAGACTATGTATTAATCAGAGTGTACAGAAAATGACAGCAAAGTGTTACAACCGTCAAAAATTTTATTTTTGTGCTGAGGGAGAAAAAAAAGAGTGTATTGAAACCAAAATTTTCAACTATTTTAAATAAATAAATGTAGTCAATTCTTATACATCAAAAGTATTTTGCATTACGGACATAATTCTTTCAACAAAATTTTCAAATCCATTACTTTTAATAAATCTTCAAGTCAGTGCTTAATGTTTTATGTTGATCGCATTCATCGTTTTCCCGTACCTATCGTTCGAAATGAATGTTCCCTTGAGGAACGATCGATTTAGGGACGACTATATTTGTATTCACGTACATCTTTAAATATAAGTAGAACAAGATTCCACCTAGCTATATAACTTTTAAAAAGTGGTAAGGAAAAGGTATATAAATTCGATAGCTTAATATATTTGTGACAACCATCATAAGTCATTTTTCAAGTAGAATATATTTATAGGAAAGTTCTATCCTATTAGAATTTGAACTTTAAAGTGGTATATTAAAAAGAAAAATTCTGCTATCATCAACGAAAACTTTATACCACTGTTAAATACTTCTAAGTTCCTTTTTTAACATTGTAGCAGTGATCCCCAACGCCCTTTTTACGGACCGATACCGGTCCGGGGATCAAATTATACCGGACAGCCCATAGAACATTAAATTATTTATATTTCATTTACAGCGGTGTATTTTTCTCAGGTCTATGCATTCTATGGACGAGAGGTTAACTGGAATCTGAGATGAAACTTAATCTGAGATAAACTTAGAATTAAGTTTCGTTCCTTAATCAGCACCTATAACATACATGTAACTGCACTAGTATTTTGCTTTGAAGGCGTGTTTAAATACAATTAATTAAACCATCTAAAATGCAAGTAATCAACGTCCACCCCTTCTTTCAGTGGACCACGGTTAAATTATCAAACATGATCAAACATGTATCCCGCGGCTATAAAGAGGTTGGGAAGAAGTGACTTATAGCATGAGAATATAATAAGATTTGCCCAAAAGTTTAAAGTTTATAACTGCCTAATCGGAAAAGTGGTCATCTTTTTCGTGTTAACACAATCATGGTTACTTACAATATCAAGGGACTTGCTAGAACACTGCTAAAAAGCTGTCTAAACATTAATAATAGTCCTAACAATCAATTCTGTATTACGGTAACTTATAACTACTTAAATATTTATTTTAAGATAAGTTGTGGTGCACATAAATTGTGTATAGCAATTTATAACTATCACAAAGATTTGATATCAATTTGACAAATATTTGAAATATATACAGTTAAAAACGTAAATAATCATTTAATGTGATATACAAATTTTAAGATGACGCTATTTAAACTTACCAACATTCTTTGACATGAAGATCAAAATCAAAGGCGACATCAGTGACAAACTTGCATTTAGTACAGATCAACTTTTTATGTGCTCTATATCCATGCGTGAAGAGTCTCTCAGCTTTACCTGCTTTAAAATCACATATGGGACATTCGAAATTCTTCAAATGAACATTCATGTGTCGTCTGAGGCACCAACTATCCACTCCTTCCCATTCACAGTAGGGACATTGAAATGTCTTCAACTGTTTCGTTGAAGCAGTCTGTACCGAATCCACAACCGGCGAAGATGTTCTCTGACTTAAATCCATCACTTCATTCTTCATTTTGATATCGTTATCATTAGATATAAGTTTATCAACACTAAAATTGTTCGACAGTCCATTCGTTCCATTGCTGGTGGTGTTCGTTGGAGAGCTCGTATTCCCTGCAGATGAAGACATCCTCGGAGGTCTACGCCTTACTAAGCTAATATCATAAGGATGTCCTCGATGTATCCTCAGAAAATGCTTTTTCACGTGATCTGCACGATTGAATAGCTTAAAACATATATAACAGTGGTAAGGCTTGTCCTCTTTGTGTATGTTTTCGTGTCTCAAATAAAGATCTCGTCTGTCTGTCGTGTAGGGGCATTTCGGACAGATGAACTTCTTGTCACATAATTCAGGATCGAGTCTTTCCCTACCTTGACTATCAACAGTGGTCTTAAGGTTGGTCAAAAGCTGGAAAATTTCTTCAAGAAGAGGCTGGCCTTTCCATAAAGAGGGCGGGGCATTGGGCACGCCATGATGTTTAGCCATGTGCATTCGTACACAGCGAGACCATGTGCTGCTGTATGGGCAATGTAAGCACTGGAATACCTTTGCACTTGTGTGAGTGCCAAGGTAATGTTCAGCTATTCTTGAGAGGAATCCAACTGCATTGCACACCACGCATCGAAACATTTTAGTGTCTGGATTGTAACTGGCAACAGTGGAATTGTCCCAGCTGAGTTTCTGTTTCCCGAGAATCCAGGTGGCATTTTTAGATGATCCATTCAAAATCTGATGGAGAAAAAATGAATATAAAATGTCATCGAATTATTTTAGTTTTATAATTCCATGAAGAAACACAAAAATATTTTTTTAATAAATTATCATCTTGGTTGCATTGTAATTTATGGAATAAAAAAAATATATATCAATCTCTAGAGAAAAAGTCTTATTTGACTATACTACATTAATTACGTCTTAAAGTTTCGCAGATATTAGTGGATGAAGGTTTTAAGATCGTCATTGAGTTTTTACAGAGTGGAGGAAGGTTCCGAGCTCCCCATTTATTTTAACCCCATCCAGAAGACAAGGGAATCCTGCACCTGTATTGGGAGAAATTTGCCTCCGTGGAGGACATTTTTGATGGAACTATCCTTCACATAGCGAGGAAGACCACGAGAACCTCCAACGGTTAGCCTGACGGCAAGGGGACTCTAACCCATGATCCGTCTACCACTTAGGATATTTCACGTCAGCACTGCGGTCAGTGCAGGTCGGATGCGAAATTCGTATCGACCAGTTATCGCCGGGATCGAACCCCGGTTCAACTCATTGGAAGGCGAACGCTCTATCCTCTGAGCCATCGCGGCTCTATTACGTAAGGCTCGTGGCCATTTCTCATTCGCTCAACTCGAGCAGATGGTCCGAAGAAATAAAATCTCCTTCGACAGCGTGGCTGCGACAAAAACACGGATTATCACCTTGCTTCCCGCAAACTATGGTTTTTTATTTTCCTTGGTGTCAGAGCATCGAAAAACAGGGTTAAAAAAATGGGCCGAGGAGACCTGCAGTTATCAAAAACTGTGAGCTGAAACTCCAAGCGCCTCGACTCCAAGCGTCTTCTATAGTACTTCACTTTTACTTTTTATAAAGTACTATGTGAAGTAAAAATGATAATGGGCCGAGGAGACCTGCAGTTATCAAAAACTGTGAGCTGAAACTCCAAGCGCCTCGACTCCAAGCGTCTTCTATAGTACTTCACTTTTACTTTTTATAAAGTAGTACTATGTAAAGTAAAAATGATAATGGGCCGAGGAGACCTGCAGTTATCAAAAACTGTGAGCTGAAACTCAAAGCTCCTCGACTCCAAGCGTCTTCTATAGTACTTCACTTTTACTTTTTATAAAGTACTATGTAAAGTAAAAATGATAATGGGCCGAGGAGACGTGCAGTTATCAAAAACTGTGAGCTGAAACTCAAAGCGCCTCGACTCCAAGCGTCTTCTATAGTACTTCACTTTTACTTTTTATAAAGTACTGTGTAAAGTAAAAATACGGAAAAAGTATATTACTATAGGAAGTCGAAGTACTATGTAAAGTAAAAGTATAGAAAAGTTACCGGTAAAGGAGCTGTTGGGTCAGTTGGCGAAGGTGACTTAGGTGATGTGGATGCGGGAGGAGTTGGTGGTTTTTCTTGCTTGATGGCGAAGTTCAATGGCAAATCAGGATCTGGTGGTTCGCATTTCATGTCTTTGTACACCTGATACCTGGCGGATTCACTAAGGGTTGGATACACGAAACCATCAGGATGGAGGGTCGGTTTCATGAAGAAACTTCCATGCTTAAGAAGATAATCGTTGGAAAAGGTGGGATGAAAACTACCATACTTGGCAGTCATAAATGCCTCACTGTGCGTCATCAGGAATTTAAGAAAAAATTAGCAGTTCAACATCATGCTTCTGATCTGGAAAAAAAAGAATAAATATTCGTAATTTAAAATTGTACGAAATATAACTGTCCATCAAAATCCAACGTATGGATATAAAATGTACAACATGCATGAGTTTAGAATTAGTACACGAAAAAGCTTGAAATGCATTGATATAGGATTCGCATAGGTTTAAAATGCATTGGACATGTTTATTGTTTTATATTTTGTGCATAAGACAAATCCATAAAAAGCTGTGATATAAGAATTTTGCCAACTATTGCAGATATCTATTGATGATCACTATCACTGATAAATCATACGAATTTGTAAGGGAAAAATTGTTCGCGAAAACAAAAAAATCAGAGAAATACATTTCTACAAATATAATCGTTACTAAATGCATGCATAATTGTTTTATGACAGCGTAGCTTCCAAAATTTAAGGTCAAACTCGAATAATTCAGTCTTTTAAAACGGCTTTTTTTAACTTATCCGGATTTTAAGGGCGAAATCTAGTAAAAATTTAGATATTTTAGGTAGTAATTTAGAAATTTACATTTTAGATTTTTTCATAACTAAAAAATTTTTTGGAACTAATTCTTTTTTAAGAAAACTTAGGCTGGGCTTTAAGTTATTATAGAGGATGAAATCCATAGCAATTGGTATAAATAGACAAATATTTTTATTAGTAAAAAAAGTTTAAGACAGCTTTCTTTGGAAGATATTAATTAGCGAATTTAACATTAAGGGAAAAAATATTGATGAATACAAACTAATCTAACTTTGAAACACATACTATTTATTCCAAATTTTATTATTTCTTTCAGACTTTTATTAACGTCTAAAACAAATATTTACCTACATAAATAATTTAATAAGTTTAAAAAAATAAATTATTTTTGATTTCTATCTCATGCTGCAATATTTTTTATTTAAATTTCTAAATATCGTTTTTTTTTTCAGTATTACGTTGTGCGATTATTCCATAAAAGATCTATCTAAGCAAAACATCATATTATATCATATTCGGCCCATTGACAATGGCCCATTTAGATCTAATTCACTCCGCTATAAAAACAAAATATTGTTCAACTTAACTTAATTAATTCACTTAAGTATAATAAACACATTATTAATATTTTTATCACTGACTTCAATGTTATTTTTATTCATTTTCGATTAAATAATAAAAATAGTTTTCTTTTTTGTCTAAGAATTATGATCAATATCAAAGATTATGATCATTGAAACATGAGTGCTATCTAAAATTTTTAAGACCAAAAATTTACGTTTCATGCTGCTGCCATCTATTGACAATAGATTTAACTACTCGTACTTAGGAAATTATAAATGGGTGAAAATTTTTCAGTTCAGTTTCCGGTTATGTTTTTTACTTTTCCATGATTCCAATCACCTAAACTTCAACAATAATAGTGAAAAAGGTTTAATTCGTAAGAATAATTTCTTGAAAAGTCATTTAAAAATATTTGCATTCGTTCTACAAAATATAAATAAAACAGCTAAAAATTGATGATTCAATGATAAACTAACAAATCTCTTAAATTAATATAATAATTTCTGCATGGTCTAATATTTAAATATGTTGCAATAATTAATAGTTAAACCAAAACGCTACTGAACTTTTCTATATTTAGTACATAGCGGTCTTATAATTATAAAATTCCCTCTTATAGTGCATAGATTGATCCTTTATCACGTCAAAACTTTAACCAATATTAATGATTTATCAGAAAAAAAGTAGAAGCCTATAAAGTAGAAATTTCGTATTTAAGAATTTTGTTTAAGTAATTAACGAAAAATAATTAACTACATTTTATTTTCTTATTCTACGGATTTGATTTATATAAATAGTTATGTTGTGCACAGTGCTTAGAGATATGAACACTACTAAATGCAAGAGCCATGCTCAGATTATTACCTATAAGCTTCAAATTGAAAAGCTATTATATATTTCTCAAATTTTTAATACTAGAAATAATATTTAAAAAATATCTAAGTTTTAACAAATACTAAAAAAAAATTCTTTATCTAACTTGCGTCGGGCCCTCTAGAGCAGAGGCTCCCAAATGGGGTTCCATGAAAGCGTCACCGAGGTTCCGAGAATTAGGAATTTTTTTTAACCAGTTATGATATCCGAAACCTGTAATTAAATTTATATGCAATTAATAATGACTTATTTACTTAATATTTCCGTTTTCATTAAAGCATTTCATTGAAATGCTAGTAAAGCAATATTTTTCTAATAACAATATTATGAATGAACTATGAAAAGGATACGTATTTATGAAAAATTTCAAAGTATTTCACATCGAATAAAAATAATCAAATTCAACATTGAAGATGTATGTTTTTCTCATAACCATTCTCAACGTTTTTCTCCCCTTTCCTTTTTTTTTTTTCCGTAACTGCTTTTTCCGTTCGTTTTCACTTAATGCATGCATTAAAATCAAATTAAGAACCAGACTAGATGCCACTGTACTATACACCTAAGAATTCAACTGTCTGACGTAAAGAGAAATTTTAAGACTAATATTGATAAAACGATATAATAAAAAATAAAAATAAAAAATCATACTTCATTAATTCACTAATCTATCTAACTGGATATTTTTAAAATAATTAATTAAGTTTAGGTTATTACGTATTTTAAAAATAATTATAATTCAAATTAATTTATATGTTAAAAATTGCTAAAGAAGTTTATGTCTTAAATCTCGGATAGCGTCAAAAGAAGATCAATCAAAGGTAGATCAAAAAAATTTGAACCGCTGCTCTAGAGTTCTCGAACTATGGGGACCTGATCAAATACCTCGTGAGCCCCACCCTTACGACAGAAATTTACTAAGTAAAGCTCAAGAAATTTGTCATAATATTCCTTAAAAATATCCGTCGATTTGACCCAAAAACATTCAAAATCATTCTTGAAAACATTTGCTGTTGATAATTTTATTTTATAACCGTCGTTGAACNCCCCATCCTTACGACAGAAATTTACTAAGTGAAGCTCGAGGGCGGAAGAAGCTCAAGAAATTTGTCATAATATTCCTTAAAAATATCCGTCGATTTGACCCAAAAACATTCAAAATCATTCTTGAAAACATTTGCTGTTGATAATTTTATTTTATAACCGTCGTTGAAAAGCCGACCTAATTTTGAGTTAACGGCTACCAATGCTCAACGCCGTAGGCTTGTAATTTTGTACCCAATTCAGAAGACAAGGGAACTCCAGGATCAAGTATCGCGAGAAATTTTGCCTTCGTGGAGGACTTTTTAATGGAACTAACTCGCATTTGCGTTATATGGAGAGGAAAACCACAAAAAAACCCACCGCTAACCTGACGATAGGGGGACTCATTGTTGTTGATAATTGACAAAAAGTTTTCATTCTAATTACCAATCGGCGATGGTCCAAATACAGCTAATGGTTTGCAGCTACTTATGTTCAAGCCTAAACCATAAAACAACGAAACTTCTCTACCAACTTACTTGCGTGGAAGATTAATCAAGTAAACTAAACTCATATTTGCGTTACTTGGAGAGGAAAAATACGAATACCCCTACGGTAAACCCGATAGCGAGATAACTTCGATAATTAGTCGTCACAACAAAGTGAAGGCCTCTGCTGAATTGTTTTTCGCGAAAAATTGTGTAAGGGGATTATAATACGAGATAATTGGAGGGAGATACCAAACAGAAACAGCTGATTTTTATAGAAATTTATTGAGGAAATGAAGATCAGTTGTCAACCATGTCTTTTTAAAAAAGGTGAGAAAGAACAATTCTAATAAGTCTACAACTTTCATTCAGTAATTGTGTAAACTTCGTCGCTGAAATAACTGACAGCAATACAATAACATTTCTGAGATGTTTTTCCCTTTAACGACAACCCCTAAAAAAACGTCTACAAACCATTCAAAATCACCTGACAAGTTTAGGGGAGAAAAAAAAAGAATAAGTTTGCTTGAATGATTTTCGTAAGAATTTCGTAATGGGGAAAATATCCTTGCCTTAGTATTAAGAAGTTCCTTGAAGTTGACGATGTTTTTGCTTTTCAAGGAAAGCGCTACCTTTCCTTCAAAATTGTCGCCAATTCCACATTTTTTCCCTTTTAAAATCATATTACGGATAATGTTCTAGGGTGGTGTAATTATATTGTTGAATAAGTCTCTTAAGTAGTTGAATAACACTCTAAAACAGTTAAATTTGTAACAAATTTAGTAGAGGTTTTTTTGAGGGGATTTTTAATATGCAGACATTTATTTTTACATTTCAATTAACCTAACACATATGCATATATTAATGTTGTTCATGAAGTAATATTATTATTTTAAAAATTAAATTAATAAATACTATCAACACCTTTAATTTTAAATAAGAACTTATTTTTAATACCAGAAAACATAAATACGATTCAATTCTTTGTTTGCGGGTTGAGTTTTATTATTGTTATTATTACATCAATTTATTATTATAAGTTTTATCTTTTTTGTATAAACATTTACATTTTGTCGAAATGCAAAATTTTAATTACTTATAATAAAGATATCATCAGTTTTAATGATAAAAGATAATAAAAATTACACATAAACGTGAAAATCTTATAAGCATTCTTGAATTATAAATTATTATTAAAAAATGTTCACCACTTTAAATTTTAATTATTAATTTATTTTCTATACAAGAAAATATAAACACGATTCAATATTTTGTTTGCGGGTTGAGTTTAATTATTGTTATTATTTTATCAATTTATTGTAATAAGTTTTATCTCTTTTGTATAAACATTTATATTTTGTCGAAAAGTAAAATTTTAATTACTTATAATAAAGATATCATCAGTTTTAATGATAGAAGATAATAAAAATTTCACATAAACGTGAAAATCTTATAAGCATTCTTTAATTATAAATTATTATTAAAAAAATTTATATACATCTATATTAAGAAATTTATTATAAATTATTATAAAAGCGCTTAATAAATGCAACATAAAGGAAAATATATACAATCTAT